GGCCAACTGTGCCAATTCTGTCTGTTTTGGGGAGTAAGAGGCATTTGTTAAATCACACTTTTTGTTTATGGGTATGCAGTGTCAGCCTGTAATTCCTGTGGAGTATCCAGTACATGTATTTGAATTTTCAAGTTGCACACTCAGGAAATAATCGTGTCAAATTCCTCTGTTTGATCTCAAATACCTGCTCTTAATTGAATCCACTATCAGAGATGTACAGACAGTAGCATATAAGGAAATTCAGGTTTCTCCCTCTATGTGCCTCATACTTGATAATTTTTTTCCCAGTCTGTTACCTATGCTAAGTTTTAAAATAGAAGATTCCCAAGACCAGTTATAAATTTCTCCAGTATTTCTCTTGCATTTCACTTACATTCACTGAGAACCATAGAAAACACACCCAGAGAAATGAGGCCCCTAAATCTATATCTGCAGCAGATCACACTGTTTTTGTTACTAGACAGAGGAGCAGGCAGTTCTCTGGTTCCAGAAATCAGGATTTGATTTGAACCAGTAAGGCAGCACTTACCAGAATGTGGAATAGGAACACAGTCCCTCCAGTCTCCTCACTGTAAGGTCCCTCTGAGGTTGTTCTATGTCCAGCTACAGCATCTGTAAATTAGCATTTTTCATATTAGACACTTTTCCAAATCTCTCAGAAGCTCTGATCTTGTTAAACTATCCCTCCTTTTATTCTTGAGCATCTTTCTTTCCTTAGCACTTTTGGTTCTCCTGTCCCACCACACTAAAAACAGTGTTGCAGATTGCCAAGATTTTCCACATCAGTCAAAATAAAACTCTTAAAAACCATTCCTTTTTTTTACAGACTGGAATCAACCAAAATTTGCCAATCAGTGTCTCGTTTCAATAAAATTGTTCAGAGCAAAACTCTGTTTTATTTTACTAGCTAATCTGATATTAATTATTTATGGTCTACAATGCTCTACTTGTAGCTCTCTGCTTTCAACCATTAACAGAGTTTCAGTGCCAAATTATCGTTTTTTCAGAGTTTATTTAACACAATAGTGACACCCACTGGCTTATTGGATAGTTTTTCTTTTAACAGTCCCACAGGGTTGAAACACAAACCAAAGTACGCTGTGAATAATGTTTCCAGCACTTTGCTGTGATTTGTTGTGCTGCTGTGAAGCGTCACTGTGAATACTGTGCTGCATCACCAGTTATGATGTTCCTGTAGCATTTTAGATCATTGAAAGGTATGATGAAAAGTCACCAAGTTTTCCAGTAGTTTGCAGGATGGTTCGTGTGCTTTTTACAAGAAAGATGGAGAGAGAGCACGTAGTGACAGGAGAAGGGGGAATGGCTTCAAACTGGAAAAGGGTGGGTTTAGATTAGATATTGGGAAGAAATTCTTTCCTGGGAGGGGTGGTGAATGCCCCATCCTTGGAAGTGTTCAGGGCCAGGCTGGATGGGGCTTTGAGCAACCTCTTCTAGTGGAAGGTGTCCCCCCTGCAGTGAAGTTGGAACAAGATCTTTATGGTCCCTTACAACCCAAACCATTCTATGATTCTATGGAAAGTCAAGCTCTAAGAATCATTGTCGCATTTAATTGGCTCAAAATCACACTGTGAAAAATAAATGATCTATTTTGCTCTACTAAGGACAAAAGAGTGGATTTAATGCCAAGTTGTGTGATTTCTCAGATTTATCTCACCTTTATCAGGTTCTTATTTAGAAGAAGGGTTTTTTTTAATGGAGCCTTGACTGACAATGGGTGGAGCTTAGAGGAGCAGCAGATGCCCCCACCTCAGCAAGCAAATCACAAAAGAAAACATCTGTCTGCAAATGCCACTGTGAGCTCTCCTCTCTTGCTCACAGCCCTGCCTGACTTTGCTCCCTTTCCCTGTCCTGCTGCTGGGGGAATGAGAAAGGCTGGTTACAAGCCAGAGTCCTGTGCAGAATAGAAAGGGGGGTTGTATTATTTGCCTACAATCTGGTTGTGTGTGGAGTTGATGTGCATTTTTATTTCTGTCCTTTAAAACATTGTGCTTTCAGACAGTTAAGTCTCAGGGCATTTTAAAAATCAGGTGCTCTTCAGTCTCAGGCATCCAAAAAAAGAGCAATTCCAAATAACCTTGCCCTCTGCCTTTTCCAAGCGGTATTAAATCTTTCATTGCATGATTCTGAAGTATTTGCAGTCTTAGTTTTAGGAAGCATACTTAATTAAAAAAAAATATAGCCTTGTTTTGCCAAAAAAGAATTTCTTACTGCAGGTCAAGCCCAGGATATGCTAAAATAACAGACCGTAGTCTTGGCATGGGTAGTTCCTGACCTAGACAATTAACAAGGCATTGAAATCCTAAAGGAATTTATTGGCATCAGATGGCAGAGCAGGCATAATATTCTGTCCATTTTAACTGAGCTAATTTGTCATTTCCACATGACCACGACTACCTTCATCCTCTTTATTTGTACAGCTGTCCTGAGACTGTAATGCTGTGTAGTCACATTGGATGGGCACAAATAATAGATGTGATAATAGATGTTATGACATGGTATCAGTTCGGCCTTAACAAAGCTCCCAGTCATTATCAGTCTTTGAGCTGAAAGAAAGAGAGACAATCCACCAGCTTCACATGGCATGCTAAAGTTGGATCAGCTGCCAAACCTATTGTGAATTGGGGATTCAGTGCCTCTGCTTTATGACTTCACTGCCTTCTACTGAAGACATAAACCGTGGGGTCAATAAAATTCACAGGGCAGCAACAAACTAAGACATTTTATCAATCTGAAGGACTACACGCCCTGGAAGTGTTTGTTGGTTAATTATGACAGATAATTACCATAGAATGCATACAGTGTCTCAACTTTTTTTTTTTCTGAGTGCAACGAAAATCATGTTTCTTCAACTGTCCAAAGGATACAACATGATCTGAAAATTTTCAACACTTGAATGCAGAGCTTATACACTATATATTGAAAATACTGAGGTTGCTGCCAAAACCTGTTGTTAATAAAATGCAATGAGACAAAAGTATTAGAATATTACTGATAAGCATCTCGTGCTTTCTTTTCCTGCTGATGAACGTTGCATTTTGCATGGTAGTAGCTACTTCAGAGTACTAAAAAACCTGTACCACTTCAGGTAGGGTCAGGGCTTCAAACAGTTGTATTTTATTATATTATTAGGCTCATTCATTTCACTTATGCTCAAAATTACTCTTTCCTTAAAATGGCTGTCAAGTCTTGTTTTTTATCAAGTATTTAAAGGGCATAACAGCTGCTTTAAAAGTACTTCAATGAGTAAATTCAGTTCTCTGACAGAGGATGTGCAAGGCACTGCCAGTAGACAGGCTGCAATTGTTCATGCAAGCAAATGCTCAGATTAAACAGCCAGAATCCTGCCTGGCCATTCACTGTTAACAGGGATGCAGAATCAGGAGCTTTTAATACCAGTAGCCCTTAATTTGCATAACATTTGACACTCCTTAAATGATGGCATCAAGAAAACTGTAACTGTTAGTGAAGACAACTGCCCTGGAGTATTTGCCAGTGACTTCACTGGAAGCAGGATCAAGGCTGAAACGAGATGAGCCAGTAAAGATAAATGGAACATGAGTTGTATGGGGATACTTTTTTCAGGCAGTCCTTTTTTCTAAGTGTAGCACTTCTTTTTCCAGTCTCTGGACTAAGTTCCTATCCATAGCTCAAGGGCTATGATGGATGCCATACATCTCCTCAAATCACACTGATTTTAAATGACAAAAAGAAAAAGAAGTGTAGGTCCCTGCTTGCAATTCCCAAGGTAAGGTTTTGTTCAGACAGATTCAGTCTGCTGAAATATTTGCATTGAAAAACAAACATTCAGTTCTTTTGCTTCCTTTAGTTCCATATCTCCTTACAATCACCTTCCCTTTCTGTCATTTTTAATCATTCAATGCATTCCTAGAAATAAACATATGGTCTGTTATTTCTGTGGACACTGAAATATCTTTTACTGCCCTCAAGTGGTCCTAAAGCCTTATAGTTTTCTCAGAAATGCAAGGATCCCATTTTAGTTTCTTTTTTAATAATATGGTATCATTGATTGATGAATTCTGAAATTGAAACACTTCAGTTTGAAAACAGAACAAGTTACAGGTAAACAAAGGTAATGATATAGAATGGAAGAGATGAGTAAGAGAAATAAAGGCCTATAAATATGTAGATTTTGTAGGGTGGAAGGGTAGACAGCTCACATGTGAAGTCTGATTAGAAAGCTTGCTTTATTCAGCACTTTGAATCTATGATTGTGTAGTTGTTTAGCAGCACAGAACAAAACCTGCAACAAATCTGAAACAACTCCACAGCAGTGCTGTAGACAGAAAAAAATCAGTTGGCCTGGGAAGTAAAGAATAAATAAAAATATATATATTACCTTGGGAAAGTTAATGGAATTCCATGGAGATGGTCTGTGTGGTAACACAGGTACAGGTACTCAGTCTAGAGCCATTTACAGATAAATGGCAATCTGCAACCTCCAAAACCATTTTAACACAACCTATTAAAATCAGTACTTTCTGTAAATATATGGGCTTATAACTAATCATTTTTTCCTGCAGGAAACTTCACAACTTTTAAATAAGGCATTAAGATCTGAGAGCGATGATGGAAGACACGAGCTAGGAAAACTTCAGATGATTACCATATCTTGACTTAAAAGAAAGAGAGGACTCTCTTGATTTGTCCTAATTTGGTACAAAGTCCCTCTGTCTAAAACGAGTTCCCATTTCTCTGGTGGGAAAACACAACACTCAGTGGAGTCTGAGGCTCGTAAAAGGTGATACTCACATTGGTAGAGCCAGGAAGACTTAGAGTTTATCCCAGGAATCTCAGCCAGGTAGTCCTGGAGACTTGGTGAAGGTGAAAAGAAATTATCACCTTGAGCAAGTTGTGAAATTTGAAGGTCATGCTCCTGTAGGATGTGATGCATGGGACAGTCTGCAGGCTGTTCATCAACCTGCTCTGAATGATGAGCATTTACACATTGTAAGCCTTGGTTTAGCCACAGTCACCTGTGAGTTGCTGCCTGCTGCGAGGTTCACAACACATTCATCCTCTTCTTTGGACTCTTTGCAGGGTCAGCCCGGTGATCTGGGAGCTCAGGGGCCGATTGGGTCCTTGGGATCTGCAGGACCAGCTGGTCTGCCAGGGGAAAAAGGACAGAGAGGTGAGAATGGGCAGCCTGGGCCAGCTGGAGAGAAAGGTGATAAGGTAGGAAACAGCACAGACTGCTCTTCTAGGTACATACAGTGTGTGATGTTAAATGTTGAGTAGTGAAACCAAATTCTCACTGAAATTAATTACAGCATTCTTGAAAAAAATATTTCAGGAGCTTTTTGCTGAGGATTGCAAAATTAGAATTGTCAGAAGACATGAAAATATTAAAGAAACTCAGTCTCTGTTACATACCATGTCATTCTCCTTAACCTCAAATAGGTTTGTGGAAGAAATGTGGGGCTGGAGGGAGCATTTGGTGCTTTTAAAAGTGCTGCACTAAACAGAATTATATTGCCATTTAAGGGTATAAATTGTAGTCCAGACTCATATCTTTCACAGTTGTACAATCCCTGTGCTCTTGGTACTTTATATTAGTTTTAATGGTCTAATTCCACTGATCTCAGAGGATGACTGAAATCAGTAATGCCAGTAACTGGCACACCTGTAAATGGAGGTGCTATAAATAAAAATTGTGCTGCTGGTAACATCAAAACAGGAGCAGGATTGTGAAATTATGTACAGAATTAGTTTCTAAGTTACAGGCAACTTCCCCTTCTCTGTGATTTTATAATCTTGGGAGAATGAATGAGTGTTAGACAGTTGTCCTGTGCTGCACCATCTGTCACATGTTGAGCTATTGGCACTAGTTCTCTGCTAAGCCCATATAAGTTTTTTTCAGATCTTTATTTCTGACAGTTAAAGCTTTTGACTCATATTTCAAACCAGAATGTTTTTTGTTTCTTCCTATATAGTACCACATATTCTTGGTTTTCTTTTTAATATTTAATGACCTCGGCAACTTTGTTTTTTCGTATCACCCGTTTTTAGGGCCCAACTGGAGTCCCAGGATTCCCTGGTTTAGATGGCGTTCCTGTACGTATTAAATGAACATTTCTTTCTAAAAATTGCAGTTCCTATGAAGTCACAGCAAGTCCTCTAACAGAACAATACACTCAATAAACTGTTTGGCTTTATATCTATTGATATCATGTACAGAATTAGATGTTTTGTGCAAAAATGCAAAATAACCAGGTTGACTTCAGCTGTGTTTGCTATTGATAACGAATTCCACAAATCCCCAGTGAGATAAGTACATAATTTTCATGCAGGAGTGGGGCAGTGCAGGCAGACACTGCCCATGCCCATTTAGCAAGTGTCAGTGCTAGGATCAAAAGCAATATTTTCTCAGGCTCTACAGCAGGCTGTGATCTGCCTGATGCATTCTTAACATCTCTGGAAACACCTCAAAGGTTCTCAATGTCTCTGGTGATGTTTCTGCTTCCTATTCAAATGTTCTGATTTTTCTGTGTAGCCCTTTTGCAGGAAAAACCACTCATCCCATTAATTTTAGCCTGAATATAAGCAAAGTGGCTCCTAAATATATCTTTATAAGCACGTGATTATATATTTTGGGGAAGGTCTTCCTCAGCATGAAAATGGGTGTGGTGAAAGAGGTAACATCTGACACACAGCATTTTTCAAAATACTGTGTCTATTAGAACTGGATTCCTATGTTCTCACTAGTTTCATATGAATCAAAGTTAAAATGTTGAATTCTGAAAGTGAAAAAAAAAGAAGCAAAAACTGAGTGGGTGTCGTAGCATCTGCTTGTCAGCTGTCCACACTTGACAGTGGGGCTGCTGCCAGAATGTGAAGGCATAAAAATATTTAAAAAAAAAAAAAAGTGTTCCCAAGAAATGCATATTCCTTTTATGAAAAATGTCCATTAAAAAACGGTGTCCACAAATTGGGATGAAGAACTTTAAAGAAGTTAAAATTGACAAAAACATAGGCAAATTACCAGGATACTTTCCTGGTGATTTTTCAGACCCCCCCCCCAAAAAAAAATTAATTTTGGGGTCAAAATTAATATTTGTCCCTTACAAAGATGTTTAATTCTATGGAAATAATTTTTTCTCCAGTGGGAGGATCATTCCAAGAAAAATCTCACTGTTTGTATTGCCCAGTGCCTAATTTGGAGTAGAACTAATCCTTTTCTGGACACTGGTTAGGTCTTGCTAATAGGTTAGAAAAGTCACAATCTCTGCTATCACTCTGTGCCTGAGTTGAGCTGTGTCCTGTTTTTCCTTGTTTTCTCATATCAGTTAAAAAATGTGAGGCTGTTTGAGATGACTTTTTGGGTCTTTTTCAGCTCTTCTTTACAGCCAGAGAAAAGGTTTTATAGGTAGAGAGCAAGGGTCTGCATTCTCTGAGAAGACAGCACATTAATTTTCTAACTCAAGTGAGAGTTCAGTCTGGTCCTCTTAACCAGTATTTGCTATGCATAAAAAAAAACCCAAACAAAAAAACTTATATCATTTGTTCTACAGCAAAAAAAAAAATCTATTCAGAATAGAAACCATTTTAAATGCAAAGAGTATGAAACTGGGACCACTGTGAGGTGTCCTTGGGTTCAGATCTGAGGTGTTTGTTTCTGAACTGTTGTGTTAACTTAACAAGTAACTCCCCATTTATCCTGATGCATTTCTAATAAACATTCAACTGTCTTTCAGGGATTACCAGGAAGGGAAGGAGCCAGAGGCAAGCCCGGCTTAGATGGCTACAATGGCTCGAGGGGAGATCCAGGATTTCCAGGAGAAAATGGTTATATGGGCCCAAGGGGTCCTTATGTACGTGCAAGGCATTCCTGCAGTTCCCAAACACTGCCCATGTGCATTCACCTCCCAGAGAACAGCTGTTTATCTCTATATGTATATAATTTCACAGGAAAAAAAAAAAGTTTAAAATCAGCTCTTTAATATTTGTTTCCTTTTCGCTGGTAAAGTGGAAAGCATTTTAAAATTGTTTAGGTAGCTTTGTTGGCAGCGCTCTACTAATGAAGATAAAACAGGTTCATGTCAGTCAGGGGTGTAAATTACTGTAGCTCCAAAGAAATTTTGCTGAGCAGGTTTAGTCCCCAGCCTTTGACTTTTCCTGGAAACCAATTTTAATTCTGGAGGAGTAATAGCTGATTAGTTGGTTTAAGAGCTTTCCTGAAATTTTCCATGTAAAACAATAAAACTAACTGCAGTTTACATGAAAAATCCAATGTGTTTTGTAGGGGCTAAATAAGGTGCTGAGCTCAGATATTAGAAAAAAAACTGTGCTGAGGGTGCCAAAGTGAAAAGATGTTATCAAAAATTATAGCAATTAGAATAAATACAATTTCAGTCTTGGACTTGTAATAAATGCTATGAAATACACAACATGATAAACTTATTGATAACCTCAGTTTTTATATCTCTGAGGGTAACTCATTAACCTTCCAAATGATAAAATGCTCAAACTCTAATTTTACCTGTACTTTCTTACTTATTATGGCCTCCAAAATAGAGATTTATTTTTTTGTAATTAGCCAAATGACAGAAAGGAAAAATGAGACGTGGGACAAATTACAGAGTAAATCCTACCAATTCCAGGAGCCTGCTCTTTGAAAGGCCTAGAAAAGTATTTGCCACCTACAAAAACTGGCAGACACAACAGGCATGTAGCCTTGGATATGCATACTAAAATCCCAGTGGAAATTAATTTAGCTACCCAGAAGGACAAGACATAGTAAGCATATTTTCTTGTGTACAAGAATGTTATTTCAACCTCTCTATGCACACTGCCTATTTTTAAATCAATTTGTTGCACCCAGCACCAACTTGACTGTACATGATGGCCAAAATTTTTATGTTATTCTTATTTATAACATTGTCCTGCTTAATTTAATTCAGCATCATGTTGAATTAAATTCATCAGCTTTACTTCTGGAAAAGTAAAGCTTTAACTTGTTGGAAAAGAAAGAAGCTCCTATTTGTAAGCCCCTACCACCTAAGCCATGTAGAAGATAAACTGAATCAGCTGTAAATCTTCTTTTTATTGTACCATTCTAGGGATAAGTACCTTTGAACAGCCAGTGCATAATATCAGAAAACCTGTACAGTCTTAAAGTGGTTAGCAGTGTCCCATTTTATTGAAATCAATAATTAAGTGGCTAACTCAGTTAAATTATATCCCCTGCATTTGGATTTCAAATGAAAAAACTCCAGAGACAATGTCTTTATAAATCTGCTCTTCGGGTACACACATATCACAGTAAATTAACAGTAAATTAAGCACTACAGTCAAGTTCTGCAAAAGGAATCATCTGTTCTTGCTAAGTCTGATTGAGGTTTTGAAGGTGCTAAACTTAAAAGTTTTATAAAAGACCAAACAGCAAGTATCACGGAAATTTAGTCTTAAAGAAAACAGGACCTTTAGGCATCAGACTTTTTCTTAATAAACTGAAACATGTTTCCTAATAGATGGAAATATTGAATACTATGCATCTAATGCAGTCCACACTTTTATTTGTCTAACTGTATGCAGAATCACTCTAAATTCTTCTAAATCACAACATGAACTTTGGGAGAAGGCAAACTACTGATACTTCCAGGGTCTTTCTTGATAGATAAAAGACTGAAATGATCATGCACAATCCTAGTGAATCACCTTGTGATGTTGGGGCACCACAAAAATCACAGCCTGAGAACTTATCATTCAACCTCTGTGGAAATGTAGAGTATCAGGAAGTGGATCATGTTTTAAGAGACTTTTTTTTCTTTAAAGGGAAATCCAGGGCAAAAAGGAGAAAAAGGAAATTCAGTGTATGTTGCACGTTTTGGAAAAGGACCTCCAGTAAGTACCTGATTGCAAAGAAAAATCATAACTTGTAGGGAAACATATGTGGTAAATGTAATTGTTCCATTAGTCTTCACTATTTAATAAAGCTTGGTACAAAAAAAAAGATTGAAAACACATTAAATACAACTGGAATTGATAGCTTGAGATCTTAATATCTGTAAAGATAGAAAACACCCACAACAAAGCTTGGGCTGACTCATTTGTTAAATGATTGTCATTACAGGGAGAGAGAGGAGATCCTGGCCCCCCTGGCATGCCCGTAAGTACAGTCAGCAGGTTCTGGACCTACTTTTTGGCTTGAAGATCTTTAAAATTTTCCTCTTCAGTAGAGTAAGAAAGGCTGGGGTTTCTCCCTGCCTGCCTTAAATAGCAAAATTCCAGAATAAAGTCATAGAAACGTGGAGTCCCTCTGCTCTGCCCCATGGCCAGTGTCTGCTGGCTGAACAGGATGAGAACTGGGCTGTACCCACCTGGGTTAGCTGTGTGTGGAGCAGCTGATGCCCTGGCACTCACAGTTTGCAGAATATTTTCTCCGTGATAATCAAGATGTGTAGAGATGTGACACCTTCTTCCACAGCATCTGGTGGATCTCCCAAGAACAGGTACCACAACATTCTGGCCGTAAGGACATAAAAGAAGAAAAGAGAGAGTTTAATTGTGTTGCTGAATCCTGCTCTTCATGGCTTTGGGGTTCTCTTATGCCCTTCACAAAGGTATTCACTGATGAACTGCATCAGCTCCCCACACTGCAGCACAATTGCTGCCAAATTGTGGCATTAATTCATTAATAACAGGTAACTGTGCCTTGTCCACTCCCTGCCCAGTGTTACCCAGAAGCTGGTGCTGAGCTGCTCTGGTCACAGTGAGGTTTCAGGCGTGGTAAAAGCTCCTGGCCATGGGTGGGATGCAGAGGCCAGCAGACTTGAGCCCATGTGATGTAGGCATTTTGCAGGGGCTGTTTTTGTGGAAAAAATGGGGCAAGTTCTTGGTATTTTCACAAACAGACGTTTTGCTATCTCTTCCAGGGACCTAGAGGGTCGAGAGGTACACCAGGCCCAGCTGGATACCCAGGCCATCCAGGCTTGCCTGTAAGACCAACACAGTTAAAGAGCCTTACATTTTTTGGATATGCACAAATTCTGGTCTAGCAGTTTTAGAGCCTGCCTTAATGTGAATCGAGGCCTAGAAGTAATGTTTGACACAGGCGATGATGAAAAAAAAATAGATTTTTGCTTTACCTTATGAATTTGGAAGTTGAGGAATTGGAGCATTCCATGTTCCTTCCCATGTCTGCATCAACATGTTTCATCCTGGCAGTCTGTGGGCATGGAATAATCCTGCTAGTGCTCTCTCCTTATTCCCTTTCCCCAAGACCACCTATGGGAGACAGGAAAGGGGGGAAAAACAGAGTTCAGCCATCCCAAAATCAGTCACCAAGGGAAGTAAATAGCACTGTGGGATGGGTACATCCCAAGGGAAAATTCTGCCGCTAGGTCCTGCTGGGAATTTTCAAAGCAAAGGTGTCTCTAAATCAGACGTATTAACTTGCCTTTCATCTCTTTTAAGGGTATTCCAGGTTACCCTGGTTTGCCAGGTGAACAGGTAGGCAATGACTTCTTCCAATGTTTTTATGAAACAATAATTTATACAACTCTTCGAAGCGTTCCTTATGTTTATTTGTTACCAAGTTTTTCAAGGGAGTTACTTGATTAAATTCTCATGCCAGCATTTTCTGATCATGTGCAAACTGTGTACATTTTTTGTCAACTAGGGAAATCCAGGTATTGGAGTGGATGGACAAAAGGGGGAGCCGGTAAGAAACCAAACAATATTAAATATATTATTGCTGCATGCAGGAATCAAGCATATTCTGGAGATTTTGAAAAGCAACAATCAGTATGTTAGTTAGCATTTACATAGCAGTAACACACAGTCTGCTGTACAGACATTGCCTAAATCATCCCACCAGTACCCTCCAGTGACTGTGCCTGGAGCAGAACTGTCACTGAATCTCATCTGCTGCTGTGTCCAGCAAGAGATGCGAAGGAAAGGGTGTGAGAAAAGGACAAGCACATAACAATAATTCCACTACCAGTCTCCACCTATATTACCTTTATTTACCTGCAGTTAATTAGTAGATTTTCAATGAGTGCAGAATATGTAGCGCTGCAGCACAACAGGAGAACGAGTTGAGTCTCACTGCAACAGTTCATGACCCAGAATGTCTCTCCTTTGGCTTCCACAGGGTGACATTGGACTTCCTGGGCCACCTGGGTTACCACTGTTGGTTGGACCTCCTGGAGCTCAGCTGTTCAAAGGAGAAAAGGTGTTAATTTGCCATCGTATTTAACGGTGCTCAACTTGGCAAGTACAATCCCGGGATGTCATTTTTACAAGGATGGCATAAGACAAATCTACCTTTCTGTAAGAAACCATCAGCTTCATCAGAAACCCTGAAGGCTGCTCAGCACCCTTCCCCCAAACTTTCAGGAGAGGAGACCCCAAGTGTACTTTAGCTCACGTGCTTGAGGGAAGACTATTTTGATGCAGAAAGGAGATACTGCCCTTGCTTTGGCTCTCTGCACTTTTTGTCATTAGCAAATCATATTTCAGGCGTTTTCAGGTACAGTTCACTGCTGTGCTATTGAATCTCTTCTGTGGCTCTTCACTGACACTTTTAATTTTGCACATCTTGCTCAGCTGCACTCCAGCCTCAGCTCAGGGAACTGGGAGGCTGCACATGTTGGATCTTAGGCTTTGATTGTGTAAATGGCTGCTGTGGAGAGTGCAGGAGGAAGAGGGGAAGGAAACAGATCCAGTGCTAAACAAAATGCTGTTTTTCAGACCAAGACTTTAAGAAGAGTTAGCAAGCACATAGGCATATTCTGCATGTTAACATACACAAAAACTTTCCTTTTATACACAGGGCCAAAAAGGATTACCTGGGGTAACAGGATACAGAGGGCCACGTGGACCCAAAGTAAGTAATGGGATGATTTTTTTTTTCCCCATGGTACTGGCAAAGTCCTTCTCTGGTTATTAAATTAATCTTTTAAAACCCAGCATTTTTTGCTGTGAAATTCAATCACCACCTAAATCGGTGTAAGAGCAAAACAGCCAGGAAACGACCACACCTCAGAAAAATGGAGGATAACTGGGGACACAAGAATGAGGGCAGTTTATGTTCAAGTCCTGCTTAGCTTTGTAGGCAGAAGAGAAGAAATGAGAAGCCTGAACATCACATTTGTGAGTTCTAAGTCTGGCACTCGTTTTTGGAAGTTCATTTTCCATCATAAAAAGGCAATCGTTAATCAGCATCGGAAAAGAGGACAAAGCTGATATTTTTATATCACATTTACATAGAAAAAAATGGACTTTATATGCTTGCTCCAGCACTAGTGGTCCATGCACTTGTTAGGCATAAGCAGGGATTGAGAAATCAACTGATGCAGCTCAAAACATGCCCAGAACTGAAATAAAAAATAATAAAAAAATCCAAACCAAACAAAATAAAAACACAAACAAACAAAATAAAAACATAAACAAACAAAAACAAACAAACAAAAACAAACAAGCAAAACCAACAAAAAACCCAACAACAAAACAAACAAACAAAAAAACCCCAAACCTGAAAGCACCTGAAGTTTGGAGAAGAGGCCAGAGCAGGTTCCTCGAATAGCTGGGGTTACTCAGGCACTGCTTAGTGATGCTGCATGAAGTGACTGAGCCTGGTAAGGGAGACAGGATCCATCAACCTAACATATATATATATATATAAAATTTAATGAACATGCAGAACTATTACAATTTATGGCACACTTCACTGAGCATCTTGTTTAAACAAACTGTTTTGAATGCTCCAGGGTGTACCTGGGAGAGGAGAAAAGGGTGAAAAAGGCCTTCCTGGATTCCCTGGATTGCGGGTAAGGAAATCACAGAATAAATTACATCACAAATTCTCTATAATTATGTTCATAATATATTTGGCAATTCGAGTTTGCATTCTCAAGGAAGATTTTAAGGATTTTTTTTTTTTTAAACTAGTCTGTCATGCTTCCTGTATAGAATATTTAAGAGTCTTGCCCTGGGACTCACCCTGTCTCAGACAAACATAAGCTCATACAGACTTTCTGTCCTTGGAAAGAAAGTAAATCTCCAGGGTTATCCCTTAAATATTTAGAGCTGCACACAAAGCTGCTCTGGAGTAGCACAGTACTAACAGTAATTTGAATGTTTTCCATACATGTAAATGGCACTTTTTTTTACAGCAGCTTGTGCTTGATTTGCCTGACAGTGCTCACATGGAGCAACACCTCCACTGCTGTGCTTGCTGCAGTAGGATAATACAATTAAGTGAAGACCTGCCTGATTTGCTTTGGTCTATAGTCCAAATTTGTGTCCTTTTCTCATAGGAACTATTTGAAAAAACTTTGCAAAGTTTTTTGGAAACATCCCAAGTAATATGTATCGAAGTTACATGAATAGATTTCATTTTGAATAAGTTTTCATGGTTTTAGCTCACATTCTGCTTGCTTTTATCAGGGCCATCCTGGTTCTTATGGACCTGCAGGTTTTCCTGGAATGAAGGTACAAAAAGTATAAATTATAAGCAGCTCCCTGAACGGTGGGATCGGTGAGGTTTGGTTTCCTGTGGATTTGTGCAGATTTGGAATTGCCACATACTTTCTTTCCTTTCTGTTACTTGTTGCCACAGGATTTGTCTGATCTCTGTGTCTTTGAATTTCTGCCCCTCTCTGATATTTGGCTGAAATTTTGTGGAGTCTGAAGTGTCAAGGAGAGGGAAGAGTCAATGGGACAGACACACAGCATGACAGAGGAGTTATGCAGCACGATAACTGTGTTTGCCATGGTGACACAGTGTCATTTTGTGTCATCTGCGTGTTTTGTTCATCCCTCTGGCTCGAGAAATTCCAGTTGTGATGTTAAGTCTGCTAAATTTTACTTCTGAACTGAAAACATCTTAGTGGGATAAAGAACAACAGATGTGTGCATAGAGATTTACATCTTGCCCTTTTTTTTTTATCTTAACACAGGAGATTCGATCAAACACAACATCTCTTGTACAAACCCAGGGAATTTTCTGGAACAAACTGAGGGTGCAATTAGAACATGACAGTATTGTTTGACTACTAATTATTTTAATGTCTTAACGGATTAATCCAATTATATTTGTGTGATCCTTTCCAGGGTGAAACAGGATTTGCTGGTTTTCCTGGGCAGCCTGGCTATCCAGGCATACAGGTAAAAAATCCACCACACGTGCACACAACCCTAGAGAGATGCTGCCAGTTCCTCCCAAATGTACCCCATTATCAGATCATTCCCTTTTATACAGTCATCATTTCCTTTTAATATTTACTAAATTTTAAGACTGGAACACACTCTGCATAATCTGTGATGACACAAGGAAGTAAACTGAGGCTGGTCCAGACTTGTCATAAGCAACAAACAGGTTTTGAAGGAGCATGTTTACAAATGAGAAATGACAAAGACATGGAGTAAATAAGTAAAAGCACGATAAAAACATCTGGTTTAGTCAGACTTACTTGTTTCAGAGTTAGGCCTGCCAAAAGAATGCTAAATCAGCTTCTTCAGCCAAGATGTCATTTATGAGGTCATACCTGGCGGGGGGAGAAATAGCCCATGGATGTTACTTTTTCTCCCACTTGCCCATTATCAGCTTCACAGCAATGGGGGATCATTTAGATACTAATTGGACAGAAACACTGCACATTTAAGCAGAAGATTCATTGCAGCCCATTACTCCCTAAAAGTAGAATCGAACCTTAAGTGTTTTGCTGGTAAAAAGTTCTCACCCTGATGTGCACATTGTTTTAGTTTGGGGCCTCATTAACAAACTCTAGGCAAGTAATTTTATGGACAGAATAGGACATTCTTCAGACTCCACTGATTAGCCCTCAGCCTGAGCAGCCATCAATCAACAGTAAGCAAAAATAATTAATTGTTGGTAGATTATTCTTGGGAGAAGTGTGAAGTCCTGCAGCGATGAATCAGAAAGATGAAATTATGATGCAAGGAGCAAACAAAGCAAGTATAGACACAACTTAATAAAAACCAGGTGTACTCAGGCAGATATGCAAAATTCTGAGTGATTGCACAGATGCTTTAGTTTTGGTTGGGAAACAATTGGAGAAATCTGATTGTTCCTGAAAGGAGCAGATCTATCTACCCTTCATCAGCTGCTCATCCGGCCTCACCAGCTGTTGCTCATGATCTGCTAAAAATTACATAGACTGCAGGAACAAAAATATGATTAAAAACACAGCTGGGAATAGCCTGTCCTCACATAGATTTTTGTGAAACAAACATACTTAGAGATTCACAAAAAAACCCCAATTTCTTTCAAAGTAGATCTTGTCTTTAAAAAATGTTACCTGTTGCTGAAAGCGAAGATTGATCTTCAAGGAATTGTTGTCACACCTTTTGATCCCCGAGTCTGCACGTTGGCAACACTGGTTTGTGTTTTTTTTTTAAATAAACTGTTGGTACACTGAGTCTCCTAAAATTTTTATGGGAAAACAGTGTCAGTCACGAAAATAATCCAAACATATTCAGGCCATTCTGTAGGAGTGTATGAGCAGTGAAAACACAGCTGCCATCCAGAGGGGGATCATCAGACCTGAGAGCCTAAAAACAGTCCTCAATCAGCATTTGTCACTTAAGGAGATGCCAAGAACAGAAATGTTTGACCTTGGCTCATTGACTCCTCAGTATGTTCCTTTATCATCTTTAAATTAATTTTAAATCTCAAAATCCTTTGTAAATTTATCAGTGAGGGGAAAATGCTGGGTTTGCTTTTTCTTTCCTGCAACACAGAAGGCTCTTCTATGTCATTAGGAAAGACAAATTTATGTTGCTGTTTAAAAGAGCCAAAGATGACACGAGGATACTTTTTCATTTTGAAAGATACAGTCAAAGGAAAAAAAACAGAGGTCAAGAGGACAGCAGCCAGTGACAGCTCCAGAACAGTTTAATTACTGGAAAGATATCATTTAAAAAAAAAAAAAAAGCCCAGAAAAAGGGATGGACTCCTTGTTTTTACTTATGTAAGAATGGATATCCAGTTTTGCATTCCAGTTCTCCTTGTCCATGTCCTAAAGGGACCTGAACTCCGGCCCCAGGAATGCAGCCCCACTACACACACAGTTCCCACACTGACATTCTTCTTTTCTCAGTTCCCATCTCCTTAAAGAGCAGGGCTGATTCCTAATCTACAAAGCAAAAAGTCTAATACAGTTTGCCACATA